TGTTATTAGGGGGATAAGATTAAGAGCAGGAGAAGGAAAATGATGTAGGTCACTTTGAGTTCTTTTTTTTTAAGGCAGAATAGAAATCTAATAATTAAATAAATAAATGTCCATTTATCTGATGTCCCTGTATCATCAATATGCACATCATTTAATGCTGGAAAAAGATAAGAGGAGCTTTTCAGCAAGGTCAACAAAAGAAAATAAAACCAAAATTGAGTTCTGCCCGTGCAGAAGAGGTTAGGGAGAAGAACTGAGCTGAAACCACTCCCATATTTGCAAACAATTTTAGTAGCTCTAAAATAAGCTCCATCAGAAGATTTGTTTAGTGTTCTTTGGGAAAATATTTACATATTCATTGAGACTGCCCTCATGTTCACTTGCACTTCAGTGACATCATTTAAATGTGACTGCCTCGTAGCATTAAGATGTCTTATTTACAGCAAAATCTCTGATGGATGGGATCATCCACAATACTAATCAAGGTTAGATGAAGGAGAAGCATCTGGTTAAAAAAAATAACTCCTCTGAGGCAGCAGTTGTCAAGAGAAACAATAGGCCTGAACGCTGAAACAATTAAAATGGCTTTGGGAGAGGGGAGAGATGCAGAAAGGGTTAGTTGCTACTCACAAACTGGATCTAGTTTTAGCCCAGGTCTAGGTGGCAGCACTGAGCTTGAGTAGGGTGGCAAACAGCATATGTTCTGCATTCTTAGTAGATATTACTCAGTTCCGATTCCCTGACAAACCTCCAGCATCTGGTTGAGGGAAGTAATAGAAAGTTTAAACTGGGTTAAAATATTAAACCAGCATCCATCTGTTCTTTATGGCTAGGAGATCATTACTGCACATGAAGACCAACTAAAAGCAATTCATTTTCTCAAGGGACAGGTCAAGGGTAAGCTCTTCTAAAATGTGAACCTTCTGTATCCTACTAAAGATGATGTCCCTTAACAGGATGATGGAGCCACTGACTATGTGTTCCTATAATCAGAGGACCAGCTATCTATGCTTCGGAAAATACCTTTAAAAGTATCTTCTCAACTTCTTACTTTGTTTCACAAGGCCATTCATGAACTTTACTAGCTCTTTAAAAACATGTTTTCCATTTTTTTAAAGTAATTGGTATATTTAATGCTCACAAAATGACACACTAGTAAGGACTGCAAGATTCAGGAATGGTGTGGGAAGATATGCGAAGCAATTTCTTTTACAACTCTGCCAATTAAATTCAGTTCTGACTCATCCTCAACCTTTGCTGAGATTACCAGTCATGCTAACCATTTGAAATAAGAAGTTCTGTGTGAGGAGCAGGGAAGGATCTAAATGCATTTCCACTGCTGACATGCACCAATATACTGTTCTATATGTAGTTTAAATACGACAAGAAAGGTGATGTGCTAAGCTCACCAGACCAGACCTTTGCAAATTAAGGTTTCTATAAATTACATGGCAGAAACAAATCTTATTAACTAGAAATATTATTCTGTGGAAGCAATCTCTGTCATTTTACTAAGGAACATCTTTTTCTGTCAGATCCAGAAAAATGTGTTAAAAAAAACCCAGTCATTTAAAAGAATATGATTCTGTTTAAAAGTGTTTGGTTCAAAATCAGGGTACTAACACAGTTTCTGTTAATCACTGTAGATGGAATATGATAGCATACAAGTTGAAGATATTACTAGTAGTTATTACAGCTCTAAACCAACCAACATCCAAAGTAGATTCCCTTATCTTGGATTGTGCCTATTCTAGATTTCTAAAACATTGTGGGAGATATACACTAAATCAGAGGGGTGCATTTCAGGTGCGACTATATGGTTAAATGGCTGCCTGTAACTACCTATCACTGTTCTACTGGCTATACTAATCCTGAACATGGATTGTGCTTTTAATTTGCAACCTTTACAAGGTACTCCTGTGTATCTAGCTGTGCATCTGTTGCCCTGTTTCTGTAGTCTTACAGGCCATCTTCACCTTTGCTTTGGTTGCTGTTCTAACTTTATTTCATTTTCCTCATCTGGCACCATCCACTCTTCCTTCATGCAGGAACCACTGCCATAATTAAATCACACAGTTTAGGATGCAATTCTACACATAGCAAAGCAAAGCAAAGCAAAGCAAAGCAAAGCAAAGCAAAGCAAAGCAGCTTACAATTCCCAGCACGCAGGTAGCATGATCAGGATTGCCTCACTGATGACTCATTTTTGCTTTGTTGCATGTCCAGCATTGCCAACCCAGCTTATTTAATTAATTTCAGAGAAATTCCACATCACTTTTCATTTTTTGAAACAAGTCCCAATTTGCTTTAAAAGACATGATGATAACATATAATAAAACTAACAATAAAACAATAGCAGCAATGAGATCTTAGTGAGTGGTTATCAGAGCTAGGAGTATCTTCAGTTCTTGGCAGAAGCACTTGCCCTTAGCATTCTAATCTCAAAGAGGGCCTCATCCCACATGGTAGGTGCCATAACTGAGCAGGCCCTCCTCCATTTCATGGCCAAATGTACCTGTTGTTGACAGGTGGCCAACCAAGCTAACCTCTGATTCCAGCCCTGATGCTAAAGCTCCTTCGATTTCCACTCAAAGAAATCTCTCAAAAATCTACTAGCAGAGCTTAAAGAATGTTTAATTTGCTACAAAGACATCTGTATTAGGCCACAGAAAGACATAATTAATTCATGCCATTTATTATTTTTCAATACTATAGATAGGATAGATACACACACACACACAAGCTGAAATACACAGAGATACACACATACAATTTTAAACCAACAACAAGAAAAGATCAACATCTGATTAAAACTTTATCATGTTTGGAATGCTTGGCACTCAAAAGATAACATCTGTGCCAGGCAGGGCTTAATTGGAGGACCCACCACCAAGGCCTTCTCTCCTTCCAAACCTTGGTCAAAGTAGGTACCTTGAGGAAGGCTTTAGTAGATGATAGTAATATACGTGTCAATTCATGCCAGCATCGGACATTGCACTCTTAAGCTGTGTAAGGTTTTATAGATCAAACCCAGCACCTTGCATCAGGCTCAGAAACACATGGGCAGCCAGTGCAACCAAGTCAGATAAGAATATATGTTCCAATCTTCCGGTCCATGTCTTCAATCTGGCTACCACATTTTGCTCAAGCTGCAGCTTCTGAACCATCTTCAAAGCCAGCCTCACACTACATTGCAGTCATCTTGCTTGGAGGTTATCAAAGCACAGACAACTGAAGCCGGATACTCTCTGTCTGACAAGCATGCAGCTGGGCACCAACCAAAGTTGGCAGAAGCCACTCTGTGCCACTAAGACAAACATGACAATCAAGTGACAAAAGATGCTCTCAGAGAATCCCCAAGTTACAATCTCACTCTTTCTGCATCCATCCCTAACAGGATAAATACCCTCCATCCAATCAGAGAACCACTAAGAACATCTCAGTCTTGCCTGGACTGAGTTCAAGTTTATTGGAAATGTCAAAAAAGGCAATACTTTCTAGGAGCTCTTACCAACTGCCCCTTTGTGTTGGGCATCAACTGCCTAAGGTGGTTTCCTCCCTTTGGTTTTACTGCCAGGCATGTATTACTTCAGAGCTACAGAAGAGACCAAATCAGTTGTTTATAGAGGCTTATGAATAATTATTAAAAAGATGAATGAGCAATAGACAATATTTTATTACTAAATAAATTATATCCAATATAAAACCACTACTTGGGCTATTAAACAAGCCCTTTCCCTCCCTTTAAAAAAAATGTCTGTCTCTCTTCTGCTGCTTCAAAGTCTCCCCCCACCCCCCCGGACATTGGCTCCCTTTGGTAAGCAAAGGTTTTCAAACTCCAGTTCAAAATTTTGTCACCTGACATTTAGTTATAGGAGTATTCTCTGGGTTAAATTTAAAAAAATATGATACTTTTCCAGAATTATTCCTCAGAATCAGCTGTCATCCTCAACCACTCCTGTGCCTTTCCTTCAAAAATGATTATGTAACTGCCAAGACACTCCCTGTGGCCTACCATTCATTATCTATAAAAGTGATGTTAGGATCAATTAAATTGTCCTACCCTTTACCATTTCAGCTCCTACAATCTTGACATACCAAACAAATGTGACTGAAATCTGAGCTAGAATTGGCGGAGGTTTAATCCTACATGGAGTACCTTATGAAGTAAAAATGTGAGCAGCAAAAAAGCTTACATGTTCAGAAGGATTAAAAAAATGAAGCATGTACTTAAACCATACGAATGCTCTACATCACAAATAGTAAGGTTCAGTTAAGCACAAATATACAAACTTTGTTCTGATCTTATATAAACTCATTTGTATTCCCCGGAAGAAAACTGCTAAGGGGGAAAATTATTTGGAGTATCTAACAAAAAATTCTCTGTTTTAAAACTGTTTGCATAGTTTAATATGCAATTGATGCAAGTACAGAAGTGATTTTAGATTCCACAAGCATTTTAACCTAAGATACCCATTAGACTTCTCCACTGACAGAAAAACTTTAATTACACGGGTATTTGAGTTCAATTATTGCCATCTCACTGAACCTAGGAAACCTGTACTTTTTAAAGTAAAAAACAATGTTCTTTTACAAAAACACAAGGTGGAACCCTTCACCCCTAAAGGTAACATAAGTGTATGTCCGCAGTGTATTTGTACCAGTGGGGTCCTGCCACAAAAGGTTGCCACGTGAATGGCTTCTGCTCAGGGTTTCTACTACTCCATTCCATCCATCTGCTGTGTTTTCTTCAATAGTCACTCAGCACTTCATTCCCACTAAGCAAACACAATGCTTTTTAGGAAGGGTTGTTTGTGGGGAGGTGTTTGGTTTGGGGTGGGGGGTTGTGAGGAAAAGGTGGGAAGATTTCTCTCTATATCCTTTTATACGTGCAAAATTGAATTAGATGGCAATTCAAAAGTGCTTCTAACCAACTGCAACTTTTGTCAGCTTCTGCAGACCCTTTGAACCTCGAAGAAACAACCAATGGATTTACTTACCTGTACCGTCTGGTAAGCTGAAGGATCAAATCCTTTCACTGTGACCTCTCGGAAAACTCTTGGTTCTAGTTCTTCTTTGGTCAGATCACAGTGGTAAATAATACCTAAACATATAATTCAAGTCTGTCAGTTAACTAATTCAGTGTCTATTCTCTGAACTAACTGTAGAAGATCCTGTAACTTGGGAAAGACAACTTGTGGTTCTCCAGATATTCTGGTCTTCAACTCCCACCCTTTGCCCCAATTGGCTGTGCTGGCTAGGGCTGATGGGAGATGTAGTGTAAAACATCTGGAGGACCACTACCTGCTGTTTGTATACTGAATAGTGTGCATAATACACCAACTTAGCACCCTATGATACATAGTTATTTAGTTCAATATATGGTAGGCTTACAAATGAGGCTTGTATGACATTTTTAAACAATCATATTCAGTCATATTCCCAGGGTATAAATGCACAAAAATACATGAGGTTATGCTTTCAACAAACTTAAAAACTCTTCAGCTTGATGTAGTTCATGGCTTTTTAGGCCTGCTGTAACAGATGTATTTCAAGGAATATTTAACGTTATGTTCCTTTCCCCCCCTTTAAAATATATGATAGCTGAAAACTGCATTGACTCTAGAAAGCCCTGAAAGCACTTAACTATAAGTATGTTTGTTCATGCTTTGGCTTAAAATGTATTCTTAAAAAGTCCAGTAATAAAACTTTTAATCCTATTTGCTTTCCTGTGACTGAAGCCTTTGAAATAAGACAAAATGCTTTATTATATACTATGAAAAAGCTAGTAAACCACACCTTACACATTGCCTGATATTACATGAAATTGTCATCCTTTCCACTCAGGGTGAAATTTGTCCTTACTGTAGTAATTTCAGAATAAAAAAAGCTCTTCTTATCCATAATCCACCTCAAACTTTGATTGGACATTCCCTATTTCAACTAACATTGTTCCATCGCAGGGCAAAAGAAACCTATATAAACTCCACCGCCTTGAGGAAGCATGAGGAGTCCATCCACTGAATACTGGAATAATGGAGTGACTCACAGCACCAAGAGTGCTGCACTAGTTCAGTAGGTCCTTGAACCTCATGATGCAGGGAAAGGCAATTTAACATTCAGACACTAAAGTCTGTTGTATCATGCAAGGTAATTTCTCCTCTGCACAGTTGAACATAAACATTTATATTCAAAGTAATTACACAACGCCTGCCCTTCTGTCTTGTTTAATTGTTTGTGCAGTGATATCTACAGTAATGAAAATATACTAAATCTTGTTTTGTTGTTTTTAATGGAAAGCTGTTCAAAACTTATTGTGTTACATGCATCATAGAATAGCAGATCTAAATGTCAGATTCAAGTGGAGAAGAGAGCCCTCTCTCCCTCTCAGCAAGTCATTCCATTATCAAACCATTCATGCAGTTTAACAGCACTTTCAAACCAATGTACAAGGATTCCAACCATGCCCAGACATCATAATTTGATTATTACTGCCCAAAAGGGGCTCGTTCAGTTCTTGCGTAATTTCTTAGAATGATGTGCAGAAAGCATGATTGCAGGATTCTATTGCTCCCATTTCTGCTCTTTGAACAGCAACTATTCATTTTCTTTAAAATGGAGAAGGTGTTTCATGAGAAAGAAACTGCATGTAGAAGGAAATGAGCATGTGCCTATTGGTAAGGCTCTGGCAGTGGATGAATGAGGAAGTGCACATGAGTAAGAATTGTGCAGACCCCTTAATTCACATTTTGGTACCTTAACCCATAGAAAAGCTAAACGGAAAACTCAGGATAAGTGGTTTAACCAATAATTTTGTTCACACTAATACTGGTGCCTTATTTGGAAATAGCATTCTTAGACTGAAACACCGAACAGATCTAGAAAGCTAACAATAGAGGAATCTCTGTACTCATCAGAGTTCTAGACATGTGATCTCAAAAATTTTGGAAAGTGAGAAGTCATTGTGTACATAAAGCCAAGAAAGATGGCAAAAACCAGCACATGCCAAGTCACCTAAGCCCTTTTCCTTTCAGCTTCCAACTGAACTCCCCTCTTGAGTTTCCAGTGATCATAACTGACTTCTTCCCTTCTTCAACAATCTCATCCCTCTTATTACCTCTTGCATAAAACTAGCCTGGTAATAAAGCTAAATAAGCATAAAGTTGAATCATCAGTAAAGCTAAACCCATCAATAAATAGCTGAACTTTAACAAAAACATTATGTCTCAATTTCTTTCACTGGAAATTATTTGAATGTAAAGGGCTTAATTTAGTTTCAGCATAGCCACAACTAATGTGGATTTTTGTTCTATAGGATAATGTAAAGGCAGTAAGAGTGTGAAGGTTGTTTTCTGGGGTTATTAGGAATAAATGCCTCCAGTGAATCATTCATTCATTCATTCATCCATTCAACTTCTATTCCACTATATCTAGTCTGAAGACTCTCTAAGCAGATCACAACATTTCACTTAAAAGAACATCAAGTTTTAAAACACATAAAAACAACATACAATAAAACAGAGAATATGCAGTTGAGGGGTCAAATATCAATAAGTTAAAATACATTAAAGGGTTAAAGAGGATAAAATTAAAACCTTTCAACTAAGCCAAAACATATTTGAAAACTATGTATAATTCTATCTAGGCTGCTTTTCCCAGAAAAAAGCATGCTGTTTTTTTTGAAAAAAAATGTTTTCAGCCACTATTACAGCAGTGACACTCAGATTCTCCCTACTGCACCCCAATAGAATATTTTCACCTTCCAAGTTTGGTGAATTTGGTGAATTTTTTTTTTAAATTAAAAGCAGCATTGTAAGTTATATTTTTATGAAACAGCATACGATGCTGCAACAATGCAGTTTCTTACAGCTCTGCAAGTACTAAAATGCAGAGCTATGTTAACTGCCAAGGAAAAGGGGAGCGGGTGGCAGGAGGGATGCTACTTTATGATTGTTGATAGCACAACCACATTAACCTAAAGGCAGTTCTTGACTTCCCTTCCCCACAACATGAGGCTATCTACAGGAAACAAACTTGTCCAACTATAAGTAAGTAAAAACAAGAAAGAATGTAGTTTTCAGGCTTGCTCCTGCTTGGCAGTACAATACAAGCCCACTGCCTAGCAGAGGGATGGCCAAAGTGAGGCTCGGGAGCTGCATGTGGCTCTTTGTGTTTATTTTGTGGCTCGCTGCTCAACACCTGAGGCACCCATCAGCACCTGCTTGCTGCACACAACCACTACCCACGGGCACCCACTTGCGGCTCTCAAACACCTGACATTTACCTTATGTGGCCTTTCCGTTGAGCAAGTCTGGCCACCCCTGGTCTAGAACACATTGGTGTAACTACTAATCTGTAAATTATTATGTAAAAGAATAAGTTAAATTTACTAATCCTGCTGAACAGGTTGCTATCTTTGCTGACTACTTGGCTTGGAAAACACAAATGCTTTTTGAGAATTGCAGAAGCCATGATATGTTGAACGCTATGCTTATAATACTGTACCTTCCAGTTCATTATGCTGCTGCCACCATGATAATGGCCAACAACCTAATGCAAATTTGTACCATCTCCCTAGAAATAGAACTGGGAAAACTGTTATTCGTTTACTGGCAAATGAGCCAAGCTTCACATGGGGTTGAAAGAGCAGAGCCTTCAGTCAAACTCAGATAGGACTGAAGATTTTGTGCCCACCCATTCTCACTGTTGCCCACCCAACAGCACCTGCTGGCGCTCCTAGTCATGGCCCCTGCCATGCGGTACTCTTGCAACCACTGCCTGGGGGCCTGCCTACCCCATTCACATGAAGGGAGGCCATCGCACAGTTGGTGTGAGAAGTGGCATTACGGGCCTGACCCCCCAAATATCCCCCCCCCCAGTTTCAAATTCTATCAACTTCAAAGGTATGTGCTCACTGGGAAATTCTGCCCCTTAGTGACTGAAGGTGATACTGCATGCTTCAAACTGAGGAATACTAAAATTAATTAATGCTTCAAAAAAATCTAGAAACCCTGAGGTATAAACCCTTAAAGGCTGCTTTGTATGCACACCAAATTTTAGTGTTCATTGCCTTGTGGATGTGAAGCTAATAAATATAACTCTACTTTGCTTATTACAGAGAAAGCAGGATTTGTGTACACAGTCATTTTACAGTAATTATGCTATCTTTCTCAGGACATTTTAAGGAAGCTCCTCAAGGTTTTACAGATGAGGATGAAAAACCTAGAACATGTGGATCACCCAGTACTAATGCAGAAGGCTAACAAGGTTGGATGGATAGAATATTAGATACCAATTTATACCTTCAACAGATTCATGAAGTACAACTTTGGCTGGAATGAATCAGTTCAAACTGCTGTTCAAATGTTGGTTAACTGTCTGAGTGGTCCTGAGCAAAATAACATATAAAAAGTAAAATGCAGTGAAAATGCTGAACCTTTCTCCTTGATATAATTATATGCGGAGCTAAGGCTTTGGTTCTAAAAGGAATATTACAATATTCTACCCATAGGATAACATGGTATAAGCTAAGAAAATATTTAGTCACATAATTCTATTGAATATATAAACCAGCTTTAACATTCTATGATGGCTGTCTGTGACATTATACATCACTGCCTATGTTAAAATACCTTCTCCCTCACAAATAGAAATAAGCCCCCCACCACGTCCTTTTTTCCATCTCTAAAGTAACCAGTACTGTTATAAACTAAATATGGAGATAAAAAGAAATAGCAACAAGTCACTGTGGTTAAAGCTGTTTTTGAAGAAAGCTGTTAAAAAGGTTAATAATTGGGAGAATATTTATGAGATGGTAAACTGTTAGACCCCCCCCCCCAATGCAAATTAATTGTTTAGACAGTCTTCCTTGGTGTAAAACACAAAGATTTACACAAACTGTTTTTACACTGCTGTCATTCTGTTATAATTTTCCAAGGGTTATTATGTTATTAATGTAATCCTTATAGCACAATAAATAAGAGTACTGTTTCAAACTACAATTTTTAATATTTTGGCTTATTAAAAGTATTATTTGTTATGCAGACACAGTGTAGCTTCTAAGAGCAGATTCACAGAAAGTATATGAAATTTAATTTCACATAATGCATGAAGATGACAGGTGCATTTTATATTATAATACAGACATACTGTAAACACACTGCAATGCTCTGTCAAGAATGTGAACATGGTGAAAAATACATATTCTCCTATCACATGTAACACTGCAAGCATATAATCTTATGCATGCTTACAGCAAAGAAGTCCCTGCAACTCCTAGCATTCCCTAGCCAGCCATACTATTTGAAAAATGCTTTGAGTTGTAGGGCCTCTCTCTCTCTCAACATGTACAGGACTACACCAAGTGCCATGTATGAAGAACTGAGAACACATTACAAAGGCAAACAGTCTTACCGGGTGACAAGAAGGAAGTAAACTGATAAAATATTTCACTATCTTTCTTTTGACCACTGTATCCCACAATGCTGCCAACATCCAATGGAAGTGTCTTGAGATGGGCACCAGTTGCTAGGTCATAAAGTTGCAGGACGTTCTTCACATCATGGAGGTAACACAAGACGAGGAAGTTGGATCGAACACAAGCTGCCCATTCTGTTCATAGGAAAAAAGCCGTTTTCCCTAAATGAAATCCTTATTTTAAAACATAGTTATACAGGTTACCTTAACTCCTAAATATAAGTGAAAATTAATGTTCATGGAGGTACTGAAAGTCTCCTAGATTTATCCTATGAAAATATATTCATGTAAGCAGAGCATTAAATATAAAGATATGTTTTGGCAATTTGTCTGCACTCTGCATTGTTGTTACTGAAACTTCCCATCTGGGCCTGGCAAAGATAGCAGTCAGTGAGAAGACTGTCGTACGAGACAACTGCAGAAAGGAAGAGCCAGCATCTGGTTCTTCCCTCAAACACAGCTGTCGACATGCAGGGCTTCAGTCTAAGCAGAGAGTTCAGGAACAGGGGTGCAAGCCTCCTTCCCTCCCATAAAAAGTTCCACCAGTCCACTTCCATGTACCTAAATCTTGATCTCCCCTATTTTTGTAAGGTTTTCCCGTATCCTTATATTGGCTGTTGAGGATATTATGGAAACATCAACATGGTTCATACTTGAGAAATATTCCAAAAACAAAACAAAACAAAACAAAACAAAAAACAGGAAACCAATTTCTTCTATACTGTTGTATAATGCCCTATAATGGCCTGTTTATTGTAATGAGTAAAAGTTCCACAAAGCAGTTTGCCTAGTCATTCTAGGAGTACCTTATGTTTATAAATTACAAGCCCCTTTCGCCCATTTCATCCATTTGGTCATTTTAAAACAGTATTTTGTTTTTCTTTAGCTCTGTTATTTATTTATTTATTTATTTATTTAGTTAGTTAGTTAGTTTTTCTTTAGCTAAAACCTGATTGCAAAACCAAATATTTATGCTATATATTTGTGTTGCACTTTTCGTTTATATGCACAAAAGAGACATGCTAACTGGGTATAAAACTGAATGAAATCCTGACAGTTTGTGTGCTCAACTTCATTTGCAAGCTTTGTACAGGTCAGAGGAAGAAAGGCAGGATATAAATGCAATGTAACAAGAAGCAGCTATGTCCCTAATAAAAACAATAAAACAGCCCAGCAGAACATTTACAATTGCCAGGCTTCCTAGAATTTGTGTACAATAGTGTCATATGAAGATGACAGTAGAGCAATGAATCACTTTATGCTAAGTAACCACTTAACCTTTGAATTCTTATACATCCTGCTTTTGCATAAGACATTTCATTAACATGTCATTTTTCTATCAGGTAAAAATCAAAAAATCACTTGACTGCAAAGCTTTCAGAGCAATAAATTATTAACTGCCTTCTTCTATAATTACATCTTTCCAAACTGCATCTTAGAAGTGACTAAAGCATTGTGACACAGTGGCAAGCTGGCCTTTTAGGATTAGGACTACTTGCTCTTTAGAAATGAGGCATTCTCACTAGAAACGAGATCAACTGATTACTATTTATATGATTCTTTTGGCATACAGGAGTCCAGCAATAAAAAAAGCCCGAGGCTCATTCATTTTTAACAGTGCTTGGAAGGTGTATCTTGTCCTGTTATTCAATGAGTATTATCCCCCTCCCAATAAAAATAACCCTACTTAAACAACTAAACAGAGAAGACAGATATTGTAATGCCACCCCACTCTCAAAAGATGCTCCTCAAATGTCACGAGAACAAAAACATCTATCATTTGTGATTCATATAGCAGTCACAGTTGCATAAAAGCTGGGAATACACAATGATGCTATTTGCCTTACAGATATTGCTTATTTTCTGACCTTGGCACCGCATAGCAATTAACTTCAAGGTCCTATTCACTTAACATCCCAATAGTTGGCAAGTGTGCTTTCTTCCTTTCTGCAGATGATTACAGGTGAATATTCTTACCCAGCACATCCCTCCCATGTTCCGGAACCAGCACTTTCCACTTGGATTCCTCAGGATCACTAAAATCAATATTAATTAATTGATAGTTTGGAGCATGACGGTTCGTCTTGAAGGTGAACGTAGTTCCCTCATTGGTGATGTAGTCATACTCTGCGTCAAAATTGTCTATCAGTTTCACCCACTGAAGAATACCTACACATAAGATAAAAGAAACAAATCAGTTATATGGCTAGAAAAACTATGCATGATCAAAAGATTAAACTGCAATTTTCTTCTGAGCTCACATGAGATTCCTTTTGTTAAGTGCCATTGTTGCAAGAATTAAGACTGGAAAGATATGGAATTACAAAATGGCGGTCCTACTGATTCTGAAACTAAATTATATTTCTGTATTAGTTAGAAAACTATTTCCACACAGTTTCAGAAGTGATCATTTATCTTCCTAGAATCTGTAAGCATTCATTCTTTCACCTGACCTACTTGAGAGGGTCCCTTGGACTCTAACAGTGCAATCCATGTCTGATTAAATTAGGTCTCACTGAGTTGGGAACTATTTGATTCATTTCATTGCAACCAAAAAAAGCTATTCAGAGCTTCCTCTGCAACTTAAAGCATCTTTGGCAGGATGTCCTCTTCCAATCCCATTTAAACTGGTTATTTAAGCTACAACACAGGGCATACAACTTGCAGGCTAAAGAATTTGGCCTATAATTTCTCTTTAGTCTAAATGCTGTCAACATGAATGTTCATCCCATGCTGTTAAAATTTGTTGGCAACCTGAGAGAATCCTGCTATCCATCTTTGCTCTCTAATTATTTGGGGGCAAAAGGAGGGTCCCCATGAATCAAAACTTTCTTGTTTGAGAGCAAGGATGTCAGAAACTTTCCAAGATATTCAAATTTGTAGACGTACATTTTGTTTTATACTTCAGACTAGAAAGAGATACAAGATAGATACAAATGTCACTGAACATGTCGCATTCGGCATCAGCCTGGGTATTCTGATGACAAATCACTAATCTTTGCCAACTGCAACCCAAAAACTTGTGGTGGGACTTCAAAACTTATGAAGGTATCAAGCATACTTAGGAGGACCAGAGGATACTAAGAGAACAATTCATAAATCTCTACAGGACTGAGTGAAGATTTTAAAGTTCCTTTACTTAAGAAATAATATTTATGTTTATATTCAGAAGTACATATGCATGCATGGACAAAAATGTTGAATACAGCTGAACTCTATCACCATCTTTTTGTACTCTGCTTCAACTTAATAAATATGGAACATGCTAATTAGTACTGACACATGCAAATATGCTACAGTAATAATTGACTTTAAACTGTCTATCAGCGTGTTTGAAATGTCATCAAGTCATGCACGGCAGCAAACAGCTTAACTGATTAAAGTTGATTGAACTTGAGAGTTCGCATTAAAACTGGAAATCTACGGCTGTGTTTGGTGGGCCCTTCAAACCATGATTCTGAAGCCTGAGAAAGAGCAGCAGTAAGCCTTGGCCAAGCATGTTACATCTTCCCTTCTCCCAGAAAGAAAGAGAAGATATTAGCAGCTTCTTTTTCTAGTTAGTGCCAAGTCCCTGTTTGTTGTTGCATCCAAAGACAGTAAACTATGGCTTGAGCAAACATAGCTTTTCCACACTCAGAGGCAATGACAAACTATAGCTGGATCACACCAAAGGGCTATTTAGCCCATGAGTCTCTCCCCAAAGTAAAGCTCAACATCAGGGGTCGGCAAAGATGAAAAACTGATGAAGGCACATTGATTCAGAAGGGCCCATGCCTGCTGACCCCAAGAACCTACACTCCACCCATTATCAATTCCACCTATCCTTTAAGCAGCCACATTGGCAGAATTTATGGCAATATGCTTATTATTTTCAATTAAGGAAGAACCATTTAACTATCAGGTGGGAATCACCATATTTCTCCGTCTATAAGACACCCCCATGTATAGCATGCCTCCCACTTTTCCTACCGATCTCTGAGCGAGTAAACTGCGGCCGCTCACGTGCACCACTTCGCCTCCCCCGCCCCCCAAGCATACCCACGGTTCTCCTCTTGGCCCTCCATGTATAAGATGCACCTCCATTTTTAGGTAAATGTTTTTAAGAAAAAGTAGCGTCTTATACATGGAAAAATATGGTACTTGTAAGTAAATATGCTCAGGAATGCTCTGCACATTGCAGCAGTTCCTGCAGCAGTTCTGTTGAGGGTCACCTAGGTTGCCCTACAGGCTTGCCTTGTTTATTGGAAAAGTGAATAGAGGACCAGTTCCACCAGATTTTTGCTCCTCAATAGCAGTGCCACTGACCAAAAAAAGAAAAAAAGAAAAAAAACCAGAAGCAGCAGCATTATAAACTCTCTTCTCAAATAACATGGGACATTGAGTGTGTAATGCTACTCACAAATACAACCGGAATCCATGATGGCCCACTGCTGGGAGACATTACATTTACACATATTTTTGCTAGCATGTGTGTGGAATTGAAGGAGGTACTACCCAGGAAGAATTCTCTTCTATCCTGGAACTTCATCCACAAACACACAATATATGCCCCACAAGACATGTCCAATATCCTTCTTACAATCTGAGGGGAATATCCAATGCTGCCTCTCTACTTATGGGGCCTGCTGCCACTTCATTTTGTGGGTGGCCAGTCCTGCTAGCACCTTTCTGCCAGCAGTGTCCACACTTTGCAGAAAAGTAATTTAGTGCTTCCAGGAGAAAGCCCCAAAATGAGATGATATGGGGCAGCTAAGTGGAGCTCCCTTACGGATACTGCCCTGAGAGCCACTGTGCTTTTTTTTCAAAGGCAAGTTTGAAATTGCCAGATTAATCTACTCCAACTTGCAGATGCTGCAACTTATCCCTTGAACTGAAGTGCAGCTTCAGTTTCCCTCTCTGGAGGCACTGAGAAGTTGTGGCACTGCTAGGCAAAAAGGACAAAAGAAACCTCGAGGGAACAGTCACTCAGAAAACTAACCAGACAGACGGCTCTGCCTGAGAACAGAAATTGTTCCCCAGGTAGCTTAATGCAAAAAATTGTCAAGACACCTCTCTTCCATCTCCATTGAGGTGAAAAAAGACCCTTGTGTATAAAAGTGTTTCCATGATAGGACCTCTTATTGAAAAGAGAACAGGAAAACTGGAGGTATGTGTTTGCATGTGTCACACATTACAAAGTGGGAAGGCATCAGAAGACATCACAGAGCCTAGCAGCAGGTGCACTTCCACTGAGCTCTTGCTAAAAGTATAATAAGTATGATAAGGACACAGAACATTAACAAAGATTGTGGGCAAAGCACAGAGTCAGTGCAGAGGCCCCACTCCACAGCAAACACGGGAAAGGGGCTTTAGTCCTTCTCCCACTTATTGTCCCAATGTAAACTTGGTCCCCCATACTGCAATTTTTATTGCCAAAATAGTGGTTCTACTAGGATCACTACTTTTTTTTTTTTTTAATTGCAGGTGTAGGAGACCCACTCTGGATTGGAGCTTCAGCTGGGATGGTGGCAAAAGCCCCTACCCCCACTCACAGAAGGGTCCTAAACAAGATTAGAGGTTCTCTGCTTACAGTAGAAAAAGGATAAAAGACACAGTTGCTGTAACTTTAAAATCACATGTAGTTCATGCCTGAATGAAGAAACATGAATGATTCCAGAATGCACTGGCAAAACATAGCGCAGAGAAGAAAAACTAATTTGCACCATATTCTTTCCCTGGCCAACAGTTCACCTAAGGCATGCATTGGACTATGTGGTTAAAACAAGTTCAGTAGCTTCAAAGCTTCCTTATTCTAAATTAGGCCACTGTTTCATTATTTGGAATCAATTCTTCAAGGGTTTGCTCAGATGCTACTTGAGAGCCTTCGATTGATAATGCCAGAGACTGAACCAGGTCCATTGAGCACATACAGAACACATTTGGTTTACCCTAGGAAAAAGCCCTCTGCAGGCCATCAAAGCCAGCAGCCCCCTCCCCACAAAATTATAAAGATATCCTGGTGCATATTCTTTGTTATGCCAGGTCCAACATAACCCACAAAGTCACAGTATTAATCTTCACACATTCCAAGGTGCAAAGCCTGAATGTCACACTCTGTGATTTCAAAGTCAGAGATCTTACTGATTTATGTTACTTCTTCAAAAAGGCCTTTTCAGGCATCTAGTGTATAGGGGTGGATTTAAACACCAAATATCACCAAGTTGCGTGACAGAAAACGAAGGACAGTACACACATGCGTTTCAGGAGTCAAATTCATTTTTACCAGCAATAGAATGAGTTAACTTCAGCTTAATTCACAGATACCGAGCACATCAAGCATCAGTGAACAGACAAGGCACAGCTGCCTCCTTTACAGTAGAACTAATAAAATGTCACACTTGCCTAGAATCTCTAGTGATGGACACCCTTCCCTTCACTCACAATTTTAAAAGGCAAAAGAGATAAGGCAGTTCTACAATGTAGGGCAAAATACAGTGTACAAAGAGTGTAACAATTAAACCAAAATGCAGAGTGGAGATGGGCAGCTTATAGCAGAAAATGAAACACAAAAGCTGCAGCCAGGTTCAGTGCACCAGGGTTTTTACTGTTAGAACATCACAGCAATGGAACTGTTCAGTGTCTTTTTGTGAAATTTTGCTTAACTGAATTACAGCTCAGCCCTATGCATGACCACTTAGGAGTACATTTTACTGTGTTTAATGGGATTTTGCTCCCAGGTGTGTATAAGATGATAGCTTTAAAGCCTTTTCAGGTACAACTCTATATATGCTTACCTAGGAGAAAGTACTGTGGAACTCAGTGGAATTTACTGCTGCATAGCTATGCATAGTGTTGCCCTGTAAATCAGAAATAACCTTTTCAGAGTTTTTCTTCTTCTTACTAAAGCTTTAACCAGCCTAACCAAACCAGTCTTCTTAATATACCCTTTTCCATTTTTCAGCACTTGATTTTGCCCAGACATTTGTACTGTTTGACATTTTGTGTATTCTACTATTGTTTTCATGTAATGCAATAATCACTTTGAAGATAACTAAGTTCTCAAGGTTACAGACAGTGCCATCTCCCAGCAACTTCCTGTTGATGAATGGATCCTGGCTATTTTGTTGTGCCTGATTTCTTCTGCATATTTTGGAAATATACAGATTCATTTCTGTACCAAGAGGCTTTTG